AATCTCATTTTGAAGATAATCCAATCCCCTACAACTACTCTTCATCTCACAAGTTCAAGAGATTCACCATTTGAATGATATAAGCTCGGACATTACAGGTCATTTTCACAAGGTCAACAAAATCCACTTTTTTCCAAGACCTTTTACATCAAGATAACATCCAAATGAAAAATTTATCAAAAGAGGGATTGAAGTAGACATCTTGGATTTTCCAAAAATTCCAAGATCATAATCATGAAATAAAAATTGAGCAAGTTATGGCTTGCCCAAGTTGGAAATATTTTGGAAATTTCAAGAATGTTGCATTGAGAAAATTTGAACTTTGGAGTCAATGGCTTAACTTTTTAAGGCTCAAATATTCTCCTAAGCTTATAGAGGACTTCTAATCTAATTTTTACATGGCCTTGCATTTTCTACCTATTTTGTCCATATTTATTTTCATTTATTTCAAATAAATATTAAATAAATTGTACAAAATATTATAGAATGGACCTTGACCTTTGGGCTGGTGATTTGGCCTGCCTAGAAGTCCAAGAATCACATGCAAACATGACCAGGTTCATCTAACCATGAAAATGGCATGAAATCTCAAGTTTGGTAATTTTTCAAATTTGTGATCATGACTTTAAACCATGGCTTTATGACTTGATTTCTTTCCATTCAACCTTGCTTCCTCATCTCCTATAAATACACAACATCCTTGCAAGCATTGGACATGCACCAGCTGCATAATAAACCTCTCTCAAATTTCAATAAAAAACTCAAAGAAGTTGAAAATCTAAAACACGAATTCCAGCTTCCGTCTGCCCTAACCAAGCCTTAAATCCATCTCCTGTGTGTTCATAAGGTAAGTGAGGGTAAATTTCAACGATTCCCCATGCCAGAATCGTGCCATCTCCTCCTTCCGTTTTGCATTTTTTTATCTTTGATATCTGTAAATTCATGCATTTTTGTTTGCATCTAACCATCTATGTTGACATGATTTGTTGTTTAGAACAGGTTTAGACCAAAAGCATGAGATCTTAACGTCAGAATTGCGTTTTGCCATGGTTAGGGAAAAACGCTTATGTGTTCACGTATCCTCATTTCCAGGCCGTTTCAGACCAAACCAGCAACACAGTTGGGTTTGCAACATAGGATTTAGGGGGAGGGGTAGCCAAAATCTAAGCTTTTGATCTTGCTTATTTGTAGATTCAGATTTTGAGTTGATCGGAGAAGGAGGAGGTAAACCACCGTGTGTGGTGGTTTGACCCTCCCTGAGTCTGCGTGGCAAAACCCAGCATCCTGATTTATCCATTCAAAACAATAGGGGCCCAATTGAGCGCGCATTTTTATTGGAAATAATTTTTGTTTCATTTTTCATATATTATGTCATTGTATTGTTATAATCAACGAATGAGTAGCGTGGCCCAGTGGTGAAAAGCATGTATGTTACCCTGAAAGCCTGGGTTTGAATCCCAGTTTTGCATTTTATTTTTTTAACAATCTCCCTGCAGATCTCGTGCATACAATCACTAGGTGTGTACCGTGTACCATCAACTCACTATTACCTGATCAAGATCCAACGCATCTAAGCGTTCAGACTACCATGCGCCCCCAGTATCTCTCCTCACTGGGTCCAGACGAAGTTGAGCTCTCTTCAGCTGGGCCTAACCAAATTCAATCTCAGCACCCCCCATTTTTTATCTCCCAGGCCCACTTTGCATTTTTTTTTTGTATTTTTTTTCCTTATTTATTTATTTAATTAGTCAAATAATAATCAAATCATTAAAAATTAGGATTAGTTTTTTTAATTAAATTAATTTCTTTAATCAATTAATTAATTAAACTTTAACTTTTCTTTTTAATTAAAATAAAATAGACTTAGGTTTTTTTCTTAAATTAACTTAATTAATTATTTGGACCTTATTTTTATTAATTCAAAATCAATTAGACTTAAGCTATCTTCATCCAAATATTTTCTTAAATAAAAATACAAAAAAAAAAAAAACTTTAGAACTAAGTTAATTTCCATTTATTTTTCTCAATTAAATTTAGAGTTAATTATTTTCTTAACAAAACCAAAAAAAAAATTCTTGTTTACTTAGAACTTTTCTTAGGTTTCTTAGACGTAATATTTATTTTGCGCGCGTTATTTTTTATTCTCGCATTTTACATAAATATTGTAACTGATTCTTGATGTAATAGTTTTAGATTTAAAATTCCACACTTTATTTCTTACACTTATAATGTATATCTCCCAAAGCCGTGTAATAGTTTAAGATTTATTTTTCTGCATTTTATTTTCCGCACATTTACTGCTTTATTATTGTTCTATATAACTGTTAGTAAATAGACGTGTATGGAAAGACTGTAAATTAAAACGTTAGCTAACCTAACAAAAAGACAAAAAATAAATTGAATCTCAACACATATGCACATATGCACCTCTAGGGTATCCCCGCTTCGGTTGTCTTCAAAAAAAAACAATCATGTCCCTCGAGAATGGGGACGCTTTAGCAAAGACCCTTAAATCAAAAGATGATAGTCCCTTGATGACCCTACGGTGTTGCCTTTCGGTAAATGATATCGTCCCTTAAACAAAGTTGCTAAATCGTCTCCATATGTTGTCTTTATGACTGTAAAACGTCCCTTCGAATGTCCCTCAACATCCAACGATAAGGCTACCTACTCACTAATAGTAGGATAGCATTGTCTAAAGGAAAAGAGGATAAGAACGACCCTTTTTGAGTAATAAAGTAGATAGTTGTTAGAAGTTTGCTCAAACATCTTGCACTTACACAAAAAAACTATTTTTCAAAAACAATTTCAAAACACTTTGTATACTTTCTCCACTATCCCGAGAAACATTACAAAGTTCGTTGTACTAAGGCGTTTTCAAAAATATTTTCAAACACAAAGCACAAAGATATTTCAAAATGAGCAAACCTCTAAGAGCTCATGGAAAACCACGGATGGAAAGGGTGCTAACACCTTCCCTTTCCATAATCTACCCCCCTTACTCAGAAAACTCTCGAAAAAAGTCTTTTTTTGTTCTTTTCACCCTTTCCTTTGTCGAATAAAAGAAAAGTCGATGGCGACTCTTGCTTATCGCACATTTGCGAATACAAAACGTAAAACCAGTATAAACAGTCGGTTCTGCCACCGTATCACAGATGTAGAACAATGCCTTCTAATCTTTCTTCCTTAGTGCTTTCTGTGTAATCTTTTGTGCCTCTGTTGCGTCTGCTGCTAACAGATTATAGCCATCGGTGACAAGATCTAGCACATATTGAGAGCCAAACAACACACGCATCTGGATCTTTCAATGATTCCAATTTTTGCCATCAAACACTGGAAGCTTGGAGTTGATATTAGCGTTTACGTTCATCTTTAACCTTGTGCAATTCACGAGAAAAAAAACTCACTAAAACACAATGTTTCCCAAATCCCACAGAATCAGAAAAAAACAATTCTCAATCACACAATACCTCATTGTTCATTCGTGTTTCCGGTGTTTCGAACCGGAGCTCTGATACCAATTGTTGGTGCATAAAGGAGAGATGAAAGACAAAAGGAATATATTGAATGACGGCTATAAAATAAGGAATAATGAATTACATTGGCCTACCTACTACTAGGCTATTTATACACAAAATTAGGGTATAATAAAATACTAAAATACCCTCTAACAAACTTAATCAATAAGATATTCCTAACATATAAATTAATTCCAACAACACCTTCCTCCTAATACCCATCCGACGAGATCTGGTATGTTCTTTCTCGATGACAATATTTGGGTTTTGTTTATTCCTTTTGAAAATATCAAGTCTGTGTCCGGGTTCATTTTTTGTAGCGAGATCTTTGTTGAGTCTTTTTCACTTTTTTAGCTTTATGCTAAAAATAATGGTGGTAATGCAAGTGTGATTAAGTGAAGAAATAATTTCACATTGTATAAGAATGCAGTGACTTGAGAATATATAAGTAGGAGAGCTCACTCACCTATCACCTTAATATTTTAGGTGGACAAGTGATATGTCTTTCAAAAAAGTGCATAATCTTCAACTTTATAACTCACTTATGGATAATCCTCAATGCTGAAATTTGCAACTAATCACCACAATGATAATTGATTTTTTAGTTCTATTTTAATTTTTTTTCTTTCTATAGGTCTTATTTATTTTGATTTTGGTTTTTTTCTCTATTATTTTCTTATTTACTTGTTTAGACGAAATACTCATTTTGGTCCCTTAATTATATCCTTGAGTTCACATTGGTCCCTTAACTTTTTTTCGTGTCATTTTGGTCCCTTAACTTTCAAAAAGGTTCATTTTAGTCCTTTTTGTCTAATTAGCTACGAAAAAATATTGAAATCCGTCACTAAATTCGTCGTTAATTAGACAAAAATGACTAAAATGAAACAATTTAAAAGTTGAAGGACCAAAATGACACGGAAAAAAGTTAAAAAATCAATATGAACCAAAAATTATAATTAAAGAAGCAAAATAAATATTTATGAAAGTTTAAGAATCATACACACTCCTAGGTACAGTTGTGGTGTTTTTATGAAGGATTGGGTTAAAGTTTCTTGACCAAACAAAAAGCTTCAAATAACTAGGCTCCAAGTTCCAAAGAGGCGATAAACCTTACCTTTCTTACATCCTTCGATGAAGAAAAGAAAAATGCATTGAATCACTTGCCTAATCAAGTGATTCCCCATATGACATAATCTTTCTATTAAGGGGTTAACTTTTCTTTAAAATAAATAAATCATCAATTTTTAAATATGTAACTTTTTTTATTATATTTAAGATCAAAAAAAAAATTCAAATATTTTTCTTACATGTGTAACGGACGGAGATGCTTTGTACCATATGAAACAACCCAAAAACAACAAAAAGCAAAAACAACAAGAAACTCCATAATTTACACCGTCACATGTTTAACTATAAATGATGTAATCAACATGTGAAAACTCTTATAGTTTCTATATTTCAAATTCTCTAGAAAACATAGTCATGGAAACAATGGATCAAAGACTTGTCTCAACTTGGTCTAACGTTAATTCCTCTGTTCCTCTTTCTTTTGTTCAACCACCTGAGTGTAGACCTGGTAAAGTCACAAACCCTTCAACGAAGACAATACCTTTAATTGATCTTGGAGGACATGATCATGCTCATACCATAACACAAGTTTTAAAAGCTTCTCAAGAATATGGTTTTTTTCAGGTTAGTTTCCTTAATATTGAATTCCTATTCGTTTAGATTGATTAATTATGTTGCACTGATATGTCTTATATGTGATGTCTGACAAATATCAGTGATATATATATATATATATATATATATATATATATATATATATATATATATATATATATATATATATATATATATATATATATATATTATGTATCTTACGTGTCTAATATTCTTATAAGTATTTCATAATCGACTAATTTAAAAAACTATTAAAATCTTTGTGATATCTGACAAATATCAGTGACATACATATATACATATCTTATGTATCTTATGTGTTTAATATTCTTATAAGTATTTCATAATCGACTAATTTAAAAAATTATTAAAATCTTTTTCTCTTTAAGATTGAACAACTCTATCTCAGTGACAAATATGATGTGTTTGTTGTCTGACACGTGTGAGTGATACATACACATATAATTATATATTGATGTCTTCATATATAGTGTTGACTAACCTAAAAAAAATTATGATATAGGTTATCAACCATGGAATTTCAAAGGATTTAGTGGAAGAAACATTGAATATTTTCAAAGAATTTCATGCCATGCCTGCAAAGGAAAAGGTGAATGAATGTTCTAAAGATCCAAATGGAATTAATTGCAAGATATATGCAAGTAGTGAGAATTACAAAAAGGATGCTATTCAATATTGGAAGGATACATTGACTCATCCATGTTCTCCTTCTGGAGAATTCATGGAGTTTTGGCCTCAAAAACCACCTAAATATCGGTAATTAAATTTATTTTCACAAATTTTTTTTAATATATTTTTGTAATATAAAATTTATGATTAAATATATCAATTTTTATAGACCAAAATGTATCTTATGTTATGAATGGAAAGAAATATAAGATCTAATTGAATTGATTTATTTAAGTTTATTTATTGAAATAAATTTTGTGCTATTTTTAATAAATTTTTATCAAAACACTTTATATTATTTTTCAAAATTATTTTAAATTTATTTTTCTAAATTATTTAAAATAATTCATGAAAATAAATTATAATATATATAAATATTAATATAAATTTATTTTATTTTTAGCCATTTAAATAGTTTATGTAAATTTATCATACATTTTTATTTTGATAAGCAATTGTGTTATAATATTAAAATATAAATAAATTATATTTATAACTTTTCTAATATCTAATTAATTATTAAAGGAAAATTTTATTTCTTAATTGTAGTCAATAATATCGACTTCAATTAATTTAATATTTCACAAATGAAAGCAATTTGATCTGTACGTGAAATTGATTGCATCATGAACTAACAATCTTGAAGGGATAAGATAAAGTTGAAATAAATTGATGTAAGCAAGAAACACCAAGTCAAATATACAAAACTTAGCATAATATTTATAAATAGATAAGACAATCAATACCGTCACAAAAAATGGAACTTATATATATTTCTAGTTCAGTTATATAAGAGAGAATAAATATATTTTTCCCTCTTTTTCTAATAATATATTTTCTTTTATATATATCTTATTTCATTATTTCAACATTTACTTCAAATAAAAAAGAAATATTATTGTACTATTTCAGTGAGATTGTTGGTAAATATACTCAAGAATTAAACAAATTGGGACATGAAATTTTGGAGATGCTTTGTAAAGGATTAGGGCTTAAACCAGACTTATTCATTGGTGAACTTAGTGAAAATCCAATAGTGCTAGCTCATCACTATCCACCATGTCCAGATCCAAGTTTAACTTTGGGCCTAGCCAAACATAGAGACCCTACACTCATCACTCTTCTACTTCAAGATCAAGAGGTTCATGGACTTCAAGTTCTTAAGGACAATGAATGGATTCCAGTTGAACCTATTCTCAATGCTTTTGTTGTTAACATTGGTTTAATCTTGCAGGTAAAATCTAATCATTTGTTCTATTAAGTTAAATTCTATTAATTAGTTTTATAATATAATATAATCTTTTTCCTTTTCAGATAATTACCAATGGAAGACTTATTGGTGCTGAACATCGAGTTGTGACAAATTCGATAAGTGCAAGAACATCGGTTGCATATTTCATTTATCCTTCATTTTCAAGAATGATAGAACCTGCACAAGAATTGGTAGATGAAATCACTCCTCCAATTTATAAATCAATGTCTTTTGGAGAATTTCGTAAAAATTTCTATGAAAAAGGACCCAAAATTGAGCAAGTTTTACATTCCTAGTTATTCAAATAAATAAAATAAGAGAAAAGAACTAAGAGAATTTGTGTATTTCTCATATTTGAAAAAGGAAATAATTGAGGGGAGAAATAATTGTGAATTAGACTATAAAGTTTTCTATAAATCTATTATGAAGAAATAATTTTTTTGTCATTTATATCCTCATATATTTTCCTTTCTAGTAAAATATGTATAATTTGATTTTTGGTGTATGCAAATGTCATTAAGAGAGTTGTGGCTTGCTTGTTCTTTATTAGGTAAATAAGATTGAATAAGATATGTTGAACTGCGGTTTCAAACTCAAACTTTCCTTTGTTTTTTTATTTTTAATTTTAAGTGTGTGAGTTTCACCACAAGAATGTTTATAGAAAGAAAAAAAAGAGTAACATAATTTAATATGATATTTTTCTCTATTTTAGAATTGTTAGAATTGTTTAGAACTTGTTTATTCTAATTGGCATGCATTGGTTGTAGATTAAAGTACATAATATTGAAGGATAATTTAGTATTTTAATATGTTGTTTATGTACCTCTGGGGGATTAGGAAAAAATGTGTTTGGTGAGATCTGAGTGACTTGCACAAGGTTGAAGATGAACAGAAACGGTAGTCTGAGCACCAAACTTTCAGTGTTCGATGGCAAGAACTGGAATCGCTGGATGGTTCAGATGCACGTTTGTTCGACGCTCAAAATGTTCTTGAGCCTGTTATCGAAGGTTACGTTCCGATTGCAGCGGATGCGACAGAGGAACATAGAAACGCGCAGAGAGACAAAAAGAAGAAATATCATAAGGTGTTGTTCTACATTCATCAGTGTGTGAATGTGAACATGTTTGAGAAAATCGCTGATTCGACGATGGAGAAGGCTGCGTGGGACAAACTGATTAGGTGTTATGGTGGTGACACATCATAAGAAGGTGAAGCTTCGGTTCCTACGAAAGCAGTATGAGAATCTCAACATGAAGGACAACGAGAAGGTATCTGATATATCTCCAGAGTGATTCTGATCACTAATGAGATGAAAGCTTGTGGAGAAACTCTTTCTGAATAAGTAATCATTGAGAAGGTATTAAGATCTCTTACCCCTCAATTTTATTACATTATTGTAGCAATTGAACACTCTAAAGATTTGGACACCATGAGAATAGAAGAGTCGCAAACAGTCTAGAGGTGCAAGAGTTACGTCTAACTGAAAGAACTTCTAAAAGAGAAGTTGAGCAGGCTCTGAAGGCTTTTTTTGTCAAGAAGGACCAGAAGCAGAAAAAAATGGTAGGTCTCAGAAGTCATAAGTCTTCTATTCTAATGAGAAGAAACATCAGAAGGGAAAGGAGAAGTACGACAAGATAATGGTTCAATGCTACTGTTGTAATAGGTTTGGCCACTTTGCTAAAGATTGTTGGTCAAACAAAAAAGAAGCAAAAATAGCCAGAGGAGATTCTTATGATGAACCTGTGCTATTAATGACTTATGAATCCGATGAGGAACCCATGAGATTGCCATTTTCTAATTCTGAAGGGGAAGAAGATGACTCTGAATATTCTGAAGGAGTGTTTGAATATGAGTTAGAATGATAAGATGAATCTGAAGATTCTAAAGATGAGTCACAATCTGAGGTTTCTGAAGATGAGTCAGAGTTAGAAAATAATTTTGAAGTTGAAGACAAGTCAGAATACGAAGTTGATTCTGAGTCTAAAGAAGAATCTGAAGATGAGTCAGAATCTGAAGGAGATTTTGCTTCTGGAGATGAGTCAAAACTTGAAAGTTTTAAAGAAGAGTCAGAGTCAGAAGATGATTCTAGAGACTTGATGATAAGTCAGATGGTGAATATGATTCTGATCCAGATTTTGACTATGGTCCAAAATCTGGTGGTGATCATGTTTCTGAAAGGGAAAACTCTGAAGACATTGGTTCTTGAGGACAAACTTCTGGAGGTGATCATACTTATGAAGGTAGTGGTTCTAGACTAAGTCTAGAAGCTAACATTGTTCCAGGTTTTGTAGAAGATTTAGAACAAGTTCAGAGGCCACACAAAATCAGACAAATACCAAGAAGGTTTACAGAGTTTGACATGTTGCAAGACACTGAAGTAGATCTTGAAGGAGAAGTTTTTCAGTGTGCCGTCTTAGTAGATTTTGAACCAGTGGGTATTGAAGATGTTATCAAGAAGAAAGTATGGCTGAATACCATGAGAGAATAACTTAAGGCTATAGAAAGAAACAAGACTTGGGAGTTGACTAAGCTTCCAAACGAGAAGAAAGTCATAAGTGTCAGATGGGTTTTCAAGGTAAAATTTAATCCAGATGGATCAATTGGCAAGCACAAAGCAAGGATAGTGGCTAGGAGTTTTCTTCAGAAACCTGGGCTAGATTACTTTGAGGTGTTTGCGCCTGTAGATAGACATGAAACAATCAGATTGGTGATTGATATAGCTATAAATAGAAATTGGATTCTGATGCATCTGGATGTGAAGTCTGCATTTCTGAATGGTTCGTTACAAGAAGAGGTATATGTGTCACAACCTCCTGGATTCGTGAAAAATAATCGGGAAGGGATGGTGTACAAGTTACATAAAGCCCTGTATGGATTGAAGTAAGCGCCCAGAGCTTGGAACTTGAAGATTGATTCATTTTTCAAGAAGCAGGGGTTTCAGAAATGTGAGATGGAATATGGTGTTTATGTACAACATTCTGGAGGCAATATGATTCTGGTGTGTCTCGATGTTGATGACATATTATTGACATGTAGTTGTTTTGAAGAGGTAGTCAAGTTCAAGAAGGTTCTGATGAATGAGTTTGAAATGAGTGACCTAGGAAAGTTGGTATACTTTCAAGGGATGGGGGTATTGTACTCTGAGAAGGATATAATTTTGCATCAGCTGAAGTATGAACTTGAGCCTTTGAAGAAATTTAAGCTGCAGAATTGTAAGGCTGCTGTCACACCTTCAGAAACCAATCATAAATTGGATTTTGATTCTGAGGGTGAGGATATGGATGCTACAACCTTCAAACAATTGCTTGGTTCTCTAAGGTATTTGTGTAATACCAGACCTAATATTTGCTATTCAGTTAGAATGATTATTAGGTTCATGAGTAAACTTAAGTGGTCCTACACTACTATAAATAACGCTTGTAACATCAGACGCGAAATGTATTTTACCTCGGCAACCCAGTCGAGGTTACTAAGGTCGTCATGAGAAGTCTACCTTTAACACCTAGGTATTTTTAACAACGAGGTTATTATTGAAAAGGCCATGAGTTCCATCCCTAGGAACTATATATTTTTATTTTTTTTCGTTTTATTACGCGCTTCATATAGCTATCGGTTTTATTTATAGTCCGAGGTAAAATGGTATTCGTTTTACCTCGGATTTAGAGAATAACCGAGGGGTTTATCATTTAGCTTTTTGGCTATACTTATCAATTTCATTGGCCCCCTGTATCATTTTTTGCCTATATCATTTCCACTGGCATGTATCATATCATTATAATAAATCTATTATCCAGCCAATATTATTTTACACAAAAACTACAAAATATGTAACCGAATTGGAATAATATCATATGTCATTTCAAACCTTTGCTCATATACAAAATAATATTGTTATCATTAAGACAAAATAAGAAAACATTTGTTCATATACAAAATAACATTGTTAGCAACCAACAAAAACTATTGTTGTTGTTCTAGAGCTTCATAAAGAGATATGAAGACACTGGCCCAACGAAATCAGATGTCATCAATTTCCTCTGTTGAATACGGTTTTTGGTTGCTAAGCTCCTACAATTGGAACAAAATTTTAGCTAAAACAAAAAAGATAGTTTAAGAAGTATACATAACAAGGATTAAGCTAATACCTTATTCTTCATAAATCCTTGTGTAATGCCATCAGAGACAATATGGAGCACATATCTCATGACATAATATCCACAAGAATGGGAATCAGTTTGTTTACGCCACTACAAGAAATTTTCATTTATTAATGTCACACTAATACACACAATTAATATAATGTCAAATATCACAATTACTATACTTACTCTTGGGTAATGAAAGTTTGGCTTTCTACCGATAAGATTTTTTTTCGCGCATTATATTCCTCCATCGCTCCACACGTGTAGGTTAAAATTAAACATGAATAAAAATTATTCAATTATAAAGTTAAATTTAAGTATAATAAATAATACAACTTACCCATTCAAAGCAGGGATCACAACTTTGGGCAGTGTCGAGTGAATCGAGCAAAACACAAATATACTATTTTCTTGGGACATATGACAAGTAATTGCCAATGTCGGCTGCATAAACATTCATAATAATTAATAATATGGATAAAATTGATTTATAAATGAAAACACAAATTAATATATACTTACTCGTGATAAAACAGGGTCAAATAATAATATTTGATGCTCCCTCTCTCCATCAACTTATCTTGTACGTAATTTCTGACTTCATGACCTGGAGAATCGCGAGTAAGAGCAATCTTCGCAGCATCTAAGATACAATAATTATTTAGAAAATTCCTTTCTAAACAGATGTTATGGATGCACCTGCAAGGTCAAATCTTTATGTTAACATACAAGAACGTATGTATATAAATAGAAATCAACATAACACAACTTACGAGCACCAAAATTGCATTATGGACTCGTCTAGTTCCTCATCTCCCTTCAAAAATTCATTTAGCAAAATCTTGTTAAGAAACAACAGACAAAGTGGATCATGACTTAATTTGAAACCTATAGGAATAGATTCAATACTCGGCATCATCATCTCTATGATCCGAAGATTATATTGACTAGGTGGTGAGGGTTCAACAGTGCCCTGGTTGGCAAAAAAACCATGTGCCTCACTTGTACCAGCCGTAACTTTCTCAACTACATTCTCTCGAATTTCCATATGATTTGAATTTATAAGGCTGAGTATACCCAACAAACTCAATGTCTGCATTATAAAAACAACATAAATACAATCCAAAAATGAAATATGCAGACAATAATAACAA